GTTCTTATTGCGATTGGACTATTAATCGATCATGGCGTGCACGAGTCAGGCATAACTTGCTGCTGTGTATAGAACACTAACAATGTATCTGATACCCTGTATATCAGACTGGTGAAGATATTTAGATAAATATATAATAGAGGCAATACTATTCAGCTAAATATATAATGAAGACGATACTATCTAAGTGAATATAGTATAGACGTAATACCATATAGGTGAATGTATAGTATGGAGAAAATACTTCTGAAGGTATGAAAAGTGGCCAATGCTTCGCACGAGAGCCCTCAACCAGGCTTGTTCGCGTGACCAGTGGTTTAAAGGCAACGATGGATATCTAGACATATATGTATACTAAATATACATACACTCATATATTCAAGTATATATATAATATATATACATATATATACAAATGTATTTATCTAATTAGTACATACCAAATACACAATATACACAAGAAATGATAAAGCACTACTCTGTTATTATTACATTTTACTCGGAATGTGCTTTTTTGCCCTCTCTTATCTTTACGCATATCAGGATCCGATCTAAAACCCCGTTGAGACGTAAGTAAAACCCCGTTGTATCTATGCAGAACCCATAAAGACCGGGGCTGGGGCTGGGAGCCTCACCCTAAAATAATCACGGAAGAAGAGGTAGAATATATAAAACCCTACATTCCATATGAGGTCTCTTGGGTTCTGCAAAGAAATTGAAATAATGCAGCCTTCTGAAAATTAAACAAGGAGGCTATGAATAATGCATCATATTTATATCCACTATAGTACGTGTGAATACGTGTGTGTAGTATAGGGCCTACAACCCTGTCAATACGCCTGGATCAGTATAGAAGTAGCCACCAGGGGTACTGAATTATTGGCTTAGTGGCTTGGATTCCTTTTTATTCGCACACTTTCACTATAACACACGCGCGATGGCACCTGTCAGTCTAGAAACCGGAGATGTGTCCAATGACACCACTCAGCAACAGCAACATGATGGCACGCCCCAGGCAGATGGGAATACTAACTTTGATGTCCACACAAAGGAGGTCACTGACTTTGAGCAAAGTACGCGTGTGTGCCATGTGTGCAGTGGCTATACCGTCTGTTGTATACGTATGTGTGTATCCACATGTGATGGTATGGCTGACATGCCACTGGTTTCATCCGAGTGGTTTTGCATATCGCTCTAAACGTAAACGGATTGTTTAAGTATAGATAAAATATGGGACAAAACCCCCATGGCGTCCATATACATGCACGCATCAATGTTGACACAATTCCGCCTGTCTCTGAGATATCATATATCTCTTACTATATGTGTCCTTCTGATGTTAGAGACAAAGGCATTTCACTATATTTGAACAAATTGTGCAAGTGGAACTCCCCCTGTTTGTATGATTGTATCGTTCGTATATATATATATATATATATATATATGTGTGTGTGTTTATGCAAATCCCCTGTTTGTATGATTTAACGTCCGTGTATATATCTTAATATATATATATATATATATAAATATATATATTATATTATGTAAATATT